CTGGACATTCTTACAGAACATACAAATACACTTATAGAAACATTGTCTGCCAACCCTATACATGGTCTTAAGCACACTCCCCCCTGCATAGACATACCTAATAGTTCAGCCTATCCACCCATCTATCCACCCATAGATCCATGTTTGCCTTCACTGACAACACAATATGGTATGTGCAAAAGGGTTCATCTTTGTTGTCTGTACCTCCCACGCACCTCTCTCTGTCTTCCTCTTCCTCAATGCCACCTTGTTGATCACTCACATTTGGTACAATGCCCTTCTCTTCACCCAGATCAATACTTGTCTCTACCTATCTAACAGTGTCTCTTCCCCTGCCCTCCCTCCCCTGGTAACCAACAAAGAAAATTTCCTTCCATGTATAAACTTTTCCTTGACTTTTTATAATAATTGACTAATATAATATTTGTCCTTCTGGGATTGACTTATTTCACTCAGCATAAAGTCCTCCAAGTTCATCCACATTATGTGGTGTTTTGTAGATTCTAGGTTATTCTTTAGGTTGCATAGTATTCCATTGTGTGTGTGTACCATAGTTTGGTTATCCATTCTTCTGTTGATAGGCACCTAGGTTGTCTCCATGTTTTTGCTATTGTAAACAGTGCTGTGATGAACATGAGTATGCATATATCTGTTCTTGTCCTGGCTCTCACTTCTATAGGATATATACCTATTAATGGAATGGCTGGGTAAAATGGTATTTCTAATTCCAACTTTTTAAGGAATTGCTGTTCTGCTTTCCACAGTGGTTGTGCCATTTTACAGTCCCACTAGCAGTGTATGAGAGTCCCAATCTCTCCGTGTCTTCACCAGCATTTGTTATTTTCTGTTTTGTTGAACTTAGCTACTAGTGCTGGAGCAAGATGGTATCTCATTGTTGTTTTGATTTGCATCTCTCTAATGGGAGCTCTGGTAGCATAGTGGCTAAGGCACTTGACTGCTAACCAGAGGCTGGAGGTTCAAACCCACCAGCCACATCTCAGAAGGAAGGTTGGGCAATCCTACTTCCGTAGTGATACTGCCTCGGAAACCCAAGGAGGGGTTGCTATGAGTCAGGGCTGACTTGACGGCACATAACAACAACAACAAATGGCTAATGATTGTGAGCATTTCTTCATATGTTTGTTGGCCGGCTGAAAATCTTCCTTGGTGAAGTGTCTATTCATGTCTTCTTCCCATTTTTTAATTGGATTATTTTTCTTTTTGTTGTTGAGGTGTTGGAGTTTATAAACTCTAGAGATGAGTCCCTTGTCAGATATTTCATTGCCAAATATTTTTCCCCAATGTGTAGGTTCTTTTTACTGTTTTGGAGAAGTCCTTGGAAGCACATAAAAGTTTAATTTTTAGAAAGTCTCATTCATCCAGTTTATCTTCTGCTATTTGTGCATTTTGGGTTATGTTTGATAGTCTGTTTATGCCATATATTAACGAAACACACTGCCATCAAGTCGGATCCAACTCATAGCAACCCCTCCTTGGGTTTCTGAGGTGGTATCACTATGGAAGTACATGGCCCAACCTTCCTTCCGAGGAGTGGCTTGTAGGTTTGAACCGCCAGCCTTCTGGTTAGCAGTCAAATGCTTTAGGCATTACACCACTAGAGCTCCCATGCAGTATACTAGGGCCTCTAAATTTGCCCCTGGCTTTTCCTTGAGGAAGTTTATAGTTAATTTTCACATTTAAGTCCTTGATCCATCTGGAGTTAGCTTTTGTATGGTTAGTTTGTATGTTAGTTTAGTATGGTGTGAGGTACAGATCTTGTTTCATTTTTCTGCAAATGGATATCCAGTTTTGCTAGCATCACTTATTAAACAAACATTCTCTTCCCCATTTAATGGATTTTGGTCCTTTGTCAAAGATCCATCAATCCTAGGTCAATGGATCTATTTCTGGGTTCTCAATTCTATTCCATTGGTCTTTGTGTCTGTAATTGTACTGATACCAAGCAGTTTTGACTACTGTGGCTGTATAGGAGGTTTTGAGATCCAGCAGTGTGAGACCTCCTACTTTGTTCTTCTTCTTCTTCAATAGTGCTTTGCTTATCTGAGGTCTCTTTCCTTTCCATATAATGTAGTGACTGGTTTTTCCATATCTTTAAAGAATGTTGATGAGATCTGGATTGGGATTGCATTGAATGTATAGATTACCTTGGGTAGAATTGACTTTTTCACAATGTTCAATCTTCCTACCCATGAGCATGGGATGTTCTTCCATTTATGTAGACCTCTATGATTTCTTGAAGTAGTCTTTTATAGTTTTCTTTGTACAAGTCTTTTTTGTCCCTGGTAAGATTTATTGCCAAGTATTTTATTTTCTTGGTAGCTATTGTAAATGCTATTGATTTCCTTATTTCTTTTTCAGCAATCTTTTTACTGGTGTAGAGGAATCCAACTGATTTTTGTATGTTGATCTTATATCCTACCACTATACTAAATCTCTCACTTAGTTCCCAAAGTTTTGTTACTGAGTCTCTTGGGTTTTCTACGTATAGGATCATATCATCAACATGCATATTAATTTAATACTCACAGTAATATTGTGAGGTTGATACTACTGTTATCATGTTTGACAGATGAGGAACCTGAGGTACAGAGAAGTTAAATAACTTGTCCAAGATCATAAGAATGGCAGAGCTGGGATTGGGGCCCAATAAGTCTGAATCAAAGCCCCTTTGGTTCATTGCCTCTCTGATGTTCCTTATGAATCTAATTCCAAACCTTCTTGCTGGTTTTCCTTGTTTTTTTCCCAAGCTGTCATTTCTATCAGAATTGCCACAAAGGCTGGGTTAGTGAGTACACCTGACTAGACTTTCCTGCAACAAATTCTCTATGGAAAAATCTTTTTGTTTATTCATATACCTTACCCATTGAATCTCTTAGGATTTTGCTTAACATTTCTTTGACAATCTCTTCTCTGAAATGTTTGGATTATCTACTGCTTGAAGTTGAAAATGCATCTGAGGTCGAGGGCTGAAAGGTGTGTTAGGGTAAGGATAACCCTTTTAGGTGTTTCAGCTTTACATCAAGACCTATCAGCAAAAAGCCTCCATTTAAGATGCAACTATTGGTCTTTCCCCATCCCAAGGGAAAAAGAGTGAAGACAATCAGAGACTCAAGGAAACAATTAGTCCAAAGTGCAAATGGGCCACAGAACCACAGCTTCCACTACCTGCCAGAACGAGATAGTGCCTGGCTCCTACCACCCTCTCTGATGGAGACCACAGAAGACCTTGGACAGAATGGGAGAAAAGTGTAGAACAAAATTCAAAATCATAAGAAAGACTAGGCTTACTGGTCTGATAGAGATTGTGGCCCTTAGACCCCCTTCAAACCTGGAACTGAATCCACCCCTAGGGATTGCCTTGCAACCAAATAACAGATAAGCCTATAAAGTAAACAGTAACACTCATGAGGAAGATACTCCCTAGAACAGTTAACCATATGAGACCAAAAGGGCAGCATTTGCCCCAGCAGAGCTCAGAAGGGAGACGGGCATGAAAGAAGGATGAATATATATGAGGGGATCCAGGGAGGAAGGGGAACAGTGCTGTTGCAGTGAGGGAAATGCAACTAATGTTACAAAACAAAAGGTGTGTAAATTGTTGAATGAAAAACAAGTTTGCTCTCTAAACTTTCACCTAAACCACAATTTAAAGAAGAAAAAAAAAAAAATAATAACAACTCATCAGCAGAGTGCTTAGTGCAAAGACAAAGAACATCTGGTGCTCTTTCCCAGGATGGCATAATAATTTTTTGTCTCAGGCAGTGGAGGCTGCCTAGCATCCTACGTGATCTTTGGGTCTGACCATTTGGGCAAAAAATCTTTTTATAACTCTACAGTTTATTTGGAGCCCTGGTCATGCAGTGGTTATGTGATAACCAAAAGGTTGAAAGTTCGAACTCACTAGCCACTGCACAGGAGAATGATGCAGCAATCTGCTTCCATAAAGATTACTGCCTTGGAAACCCTATGGGGCATTTCTGCTTTGTCCTATAGGGTCACTATTATGTTGGAATTCACTTGATGGCAATGGGTTTGTTTTTTGTTTGTTTGTTTTGGTGTAGTTTATTCTGATTGTAAGAATAATATATCATCATTGTATATATTTTGAAAAATGCAAAAAAGCATAAAGAAAGAAATTAAAAGTACTCATAATCCTACCATCTAGTGATAACCATAGAAACTATAGTTTCCAAATAATCTTATTAAGCAATTTGTATATATTCATGGAGACCATGTAAGTCTTCTGAATAAATGAGTTTATAAGTTTAGAAAATGCCCATCCATGGAATTTATAGTGGGCAGGATTACTGTGAAATTTTAAGATGTGCCAGAGTTGATGAAATTAAGATTTCTTAATTTTATGCTTTAGTTTGACTTTTTTAGTTGAAGAGAGGAAATAATTGTACATATTAGAAAACACTAGTTTCAGAAACCCAAGGAGGGGTTGCTATGAGTCAAGTCTGACTCGATGGCACATAACAACAACAACAACAATATGGATTCAAACAAAAGGACATAATGACTTCAGTGGTTTTATGTGCTCCCACAATTGTTTTTTTTTTTTCCAATTATTTTTGGCTAACATGGGCTGAATACATAGTAGGTCTTCAGTTAGTACTTATTAATTGGCTGAAGAGAAGGTCCATATGTGCAAGATTCAGATCTATCTGAAATATTATTAAAATTTAACTTGGTATTTGTAATTTTGGTATTTGTAATTTTGGTGATTACAGTTTTTGCTATGATTAAAATTTAGTAAAATTCATTTAGGATCATTTACTATTTTTCTGGGGAAAAGGATTATAAATCTCACCATTATTAAACAACAGCAATAAGAAAAACTGACATAGTATGAAGTACAACAAGTTAAGTCAAATTTGTTTTGAGTTGAAATACTTTAGTCGAACATTATTTTTACAAGCTATTTCTTAAGAGAAGGACTTCCATAATCAGAATGTGTACCCTCTTGTGTTTTCTAGGCATCTGGCCTTCTGAAGAGGTTTTAGCTTACTACACCCTCAAGCACAGGGATATGTTCAGGTACAGAGCTGCATGTAAAAATACTCTTTAACCCATTATGAGTGTTTGTCTACATATGAAAGAGTCCAATGATTACATTCTTCAAACTAAATTGTTAAAGCAAGAAAAGAAGAAGAAAGGAAAGAAAGAAAAAAAAAGTTCATGGTGCAAACATGTTGCTTCTAAGAAAGAAATCTGAATTGCCTTTGGGTACTAATATTGCACAGCAAGCTTTTTGCTGTGTCAAGACATTTTATTTCACTTTGATTTTGGGCAAACAAAAATGAAGCGCAAATCAATCCTTACTTATTGTGAAGGTCAAAAAAAAAAAAAAAGATGTTCTTTAAACTTATGCTGAGAAAGTCACTACAGAATATTTGATAAATAAATACCCCACAGCTATTATTTAAAGGTACCAGCCTACCTCTCATTTTCAAGGTATCTTTATATACCTAACAATTTGTGTTTGTAAAATATAAATTATTATTACAGATTCATGCTATGGAAATGTTTTCAACTATTAGTGTGTGTTATAGAACAAAGTGATGCATGGGATTCAGGGAAAAGAAAAAGAAAACTCCTTTTATTTGAAAATTCAAAACATGTTTGGTAGACCCAGAAATTATAGGCTTTTCATTTTAATTCTTATTTTATAAAAGTCATCCAATGTATACTTCCTGAATAGCCCATTATTATTCCAGACAAGCCATAAGGGATCGTAGTGTGTATTTTAACAATATGTATTTGTAAGTTGGGTTGATAATTTGTAATTTTTTTAAAGCTCTGTGGGTCTATATTTACCAACTAGTTTATAATTGCTTTGAATAACTAACTACTCATGGAATGTATTTCAAAATATGAATGTCCTTGCTTAGCTTCTCTTCCCCTTCCCTCCCCGTGCTGTTTTCAGTCTGTCTTTTTTTTCTTCTCCTGAGAGATTGGACTTCCCAAACTGGGAATAAGAAACAATCTTCAGAGTCTAAGCATATAAAATAAAAACAGAGCACTTTTTAATTTAGGCTGCAGAGCAGCCTGGAAGCCTGGCATTTGCTCATCTCCAGTGCTTAAGGTTAACTGGAGGAGCTGTGGGAACGTCCCAGTTGAGGACTGGATATTTTGGCACAAAGGGGAAGGTAAGTGCAGAATGCCACACCAGACTGTCAGCTTTAACTCTGAGCCGGCTTTACTTTGAGAGGTGAAGTCACAGCCCACTCATTACTTTAGCCTGGGTTTGCTGGCTTAACCATATTACGCTCTGCATTGTTTATTCACTGTGTTGTGTTGGGGTCATTTGTGATTTAAGTGTTAATTACTAAATGCTCTTTGTTGTTAATTGTTCTTTCTGGGGGCGGTTCAGCTTTCCAAAATGTTTAAGTTTGATTTAGAATTAAAAAAAAAAAAAATCAGGATTGCATTTATTTCTGTGTCTGTTGTGTGTATGTGACTATAATATAGGTATATACACACTCATATATAGTCTTCATTTACTTGTCTAACTGTTTTTGAAGGAATGAATGTGGATTAACAGTGTTATCCTTTCCTAACAATTATCTTTCGCTACTCTAGCTAGTTTAGTTCTAAAAGACAGCGCCATTGACAAGGGAAAAAAAGGGAACCTTCTCAGATTTTTCAGCTCAGCGGTGGTAATGTTGCAGTGAACACTAATGAGGGGACCCCCACTGGTTTCCCTGCTTTGTGACTTTTCTATTTCATAATTATTTTTAAAACGCAAAACGACATGAGGTAGCCTAGTCATGTCTCTACAACTTCCTGGTAGTGCCGTTCTTACTGCAGATGGCAATTTGTTCTTGTAACATATATATCTCTCTGACCATTTTCATCTAATTTGTATGGGTTCTATCATTTCTTTTCTCTCTTTCAGAGACCTTGCTGTGTGTGAGCTAGGGGGTGGCATGACATGCTTGGCTGGGCTCATGGTAGGTCTTTTCTCAATTCCAATCCCATTCACAGGGAGGAACAAAAGGAAAAATGTTCCAGGGCCTCCAACTGCTGGGTCAGAGAACCGTCAACAGCATCAGCTGCGGTCAAGCTGCCAGGTCTTGAGAGACCTTCTAGATTGACTTACTTTCGGATCATACTGATTTTATGGTTGCCTCGATGAGCAGAAACATTTTACTTCAGTGTAGTCAATATCGCTTGTTGTGACATTCCAGGCCTCGCCGGGTCTTTCTTTGCCATAGCAAAAGCATTTTAGGTTTTTTTTTTTTTTTCAGATTATAGTCCCATTTGCTAAGATACAGGAATAGCCCGGCGAATCACAGTTGGAGCACCATGATATAGCTGCTAATGTTTTGCCTGCATTATTACACCAACAAACATGATCCAGAGCGCTCAGTAATTAGATTCTTTTGAATTAGATTGGCCATTCAGGAACGTTGTTCCCCATTCTCTGGGTTCTGAGTCATGTATTCAGGAGATATTATGTAGCAGCATAGTGCATTAGACAAGTTTTTATGTCTCTACAAATAAAAGCATATTGTTACACTGATTGGCATTTGACAAACCTGTCGCTCTTATACAATGTGTCGAGGTTACAGCCCAATGTGCGAGCATGTCAAAGCTCACAAAAAAATTACCCTCACAAAGCCATCTGCCTGCAATGCAAAGTTATATGAAGGGCATCAGGCAGTCAGACAGAAGCAAGCTGAAAGGCAGAGTGACAGCCTTGTATGATGGCTCTACTAGATAAACAGAAGCCCACAAATGAAAGCCTCTCAGAATACCATCATCCGCTGTCACAATGCAATTACCGAACAGAATGATAGCAAGATAGAGGCTCCCGCAAATGGAATGATAAAAGTATTGACTGATTTGATTGAATGATTAAAATAATGCAGACATAAAATGAAAAAAGATTGAAGATTGTTACAGAGAAATAGGTGAGGAAGCATGATACTGAAGGCTTGTCACTCCTGTCTTCACTTCCACACAGACAAGCATATTTGCTCATTGTTTGCTGTGCTCTTTTTTTTTTTTTTTTTTTTTTCCAGGTTGCTATTTCTGCAGATGTCAAAGAAGTTCTGTTAACTGATGGGAATGAAAAGGCCATCAGAAGTATCCTTATTCAGATAGAAAACGGGTTTGTTGTGCTCCTTCCTTTTTCCTGGCTGAGCAACAATTGATATAAAGAAAGACAGCATGGGGTATTAAAAGAGTCCTGTCCACTGCCCCCCCACCATAAGTAATTAAGAAGTAGAGATATATGGAATTTGTTGGGTTAAACTACGTGCAGATTTTTTTTTATCATATTTTTTATAATCAATTCTCATTAAAGGAGCCTACATTTTGTGAGCCACGCAAAGCATAAGAAATATTTCCATAATAATTTTCGAGCATTCTTTTTTATTTATTTCCATTAAAATTTGTCAGTATAAAATAAATTGTTTAACGTGTATTGGATGATTCTTGCAAAAATTAACTGCCAGCTGCGTTCTCCATATTATCTTGCATGCTTGTGATGTTGTGTCGGCCATGTAATATTGTACGTACTTTAATTGCTGAGGACTTACCTACATCCCCCACTGGAAAAAGCTATCAGTTTTTCATTATTTCCTTTTATTTAGGATTATAAAAACCTATCTTTTTTTTCTACTTTGTAATCACAGTTCAAACCCCATTATATTAGATTATGCTTTACTCATATGTACACAGAGTTCATGAAAATTGAACTGTACTTTAAGAAAGCAAGCATAATTTGTGGCTACTTTAGCAATCGAGCTGATTTGTTCAGGGACGGTTAATAGCTGTTAGAAATGGAGAGGAAAGGTGGAAGATGTTTGCTTTGGTTTTTTTGGTGTCTTACATTTACGTTATGAGGTAAGCTGTTGACTTATTTGAATTTTAGCCTCCCACACACACAATGCCAATGCAGTTTTGTGTGGCATCTTACATAAAATCTATTTTGGATTTTCTTTTTCTCACTCTCCTATCTGGTGCTCTGAAAATAAAATTTGCAGTAGCTCCATCCGGCTGCTCAAATAGGAGAAAGGAGGTACAAGAAGCTCAGTAGCTAATACCGTTCAGCAGCACTTGTGTGTTCCACAGAGCCCCACCCAGCTAATTGCCTGACAGACTTAAAAAAAAAAAAAAAAAAATTGAGGAAGGCAAAACAGCCAATCACAAACTTGGCCTTTCACACAAGGAAAAGAGATCACAAAAGGTGATTCCTTTTTTTAAATGCAGGATTTTTTTTTAATCATGATCTTGAGACTGTCGCAAGTTTTTCAAAATATTCCTGAAGACGAGCTAATGTTGTTTCATTCGCTCCGCTTTGTTCTGAGTTATTCCTGCACTGTATCATTTCACTGTGCTCCTCCTCCCCATGTCAGGGGAAAAACAGCGAGCGAGAGGAAGTCAGGTATGCCAGCACAGTTCAAACGCATGTTTTGGTGGAGAAAAAAAAAAAAAAAAGAAAAAGGCAGAGTTGCTGGACAAGAGAAGGTCATTTTAGCCAACAGAACTTTCAGATTGGACCCAGTAGCCAGAGGTCTTTCTCGGGTCAGCAGGTGTCTTCCTTAATAGCGTCAGAAACCAATTAGAACTTTTATCAAACTGTGGAATGCATCTGTTGCCAGTATGTAAATTTCATTGTATTAAAATGATTATTGAGCTAAACTACAGAACTTCCAGAGAAGGGAAGAAATGCTAATGTCATTAATTAATGCACCTTTGCTTTAAACAGCAAAGATGCTGTGCCAGCTCTTGAAAATCAGAGAGGAAATCTCAGATTCTGTATTCACTCTGCTGGCCTTTCAAAGAAATGATTGGTACAGCCCCCTCCCAAGAAAATGGATTTTTAACATTTGGTCCTCAGAAGCTCAGCCCTGAGAGTGCTTTATTGTGCTGGGTTTTACAATGGGTTTAATATAGCAGGGTGCCAAAGGGCAGGAGGGGAAGAACTTTACAATGTAGATAAAGTAGGTCCTTTCAGGATGCAGGCCAAAACTGGTAGTGTGTTTTATTTCATCTCTTAGGACTTTCCTGATGGAGTTCAGTTTTTATCAGGCAGTTGTTCTATGTTTGTGTGCCTTTTTTCTTCTGTAAATAGATCTAATTTTTTTTTTAATTAAGAGGAAAAAGCATGCATAAAGCCTTCAAAATTGGCAATGTGTTTTTCCTGCTTTTAATACTATTATTCTTGACTTGCTAACTGAGCTTACAATTGGCATTTGTCGTAATCTGTTTTACTGAGTAATGCTAATATGAATGAAAAAATATATATTTTTTCTATTTGTGTGCCCACTTTCTGTAAGAATAATTAATTCACTGATTCGCATATTGTTGATGCATATAGATAGAAACAAACTCATTTAAAAATTACTGTTTACATCTTTCCTTTAAAATTATAGGAAGCCTAAATTATATACCAGTTGTAGGATATTATCCAAAAATTACTTTCTAAAAAGTAAAAGTGGATGTCAACAAAAAAAAGAGGAAAACATTGCCAGAAACCAGAAAATCTCTAAGCAAAGCTGCTAATTATTCTTAATGGGCAAGATGAGCACATTAAGAAACAAATGAATACATCAGCGAAATGTAATTGAAAATCGACCTGGCAATCGCACATCACATCTGAGTATTGGCCTGTATATTACTCTTGTCATTTAAAAAATTATTTTTGTTGTTCTTGGCATCTGAATTTAATGAATCCAACTGAGTTTTACTACTTAGCTTCGTAAGCTTGTAAGATTCTAATTTTTACTTTTTTAAAGTCATTTTCTAATATTTCCTTTTTATCTTCTCTGTTATTTTTGTTTTTTAATACATGAGGCAATGAGTGGATAAAATCTGAATCTTTATGTCACAGAAGCATATCAGCCAGTTGTGAGATGATTTATTATCTCCTTGCAAGTGTTTCAAATGGCTTGGCTATGTTTTAAACCCTGGAAAGCTAGATATTGATGTGAGGTTTATTAAACAGGGATATCTGAAGAGATTAAAACTATTTACTAAGCACGGGTTAAGGCAGGGTACTTGTGCCAAATGAATTAGTGATTGTAACCACAAAGGGCCACTCACCTTGAGGTGCTGTACTGAGGTATAAATGAATGTTCTAAGTCCTAAATATTTTCTCAGAGTTTTGGGAAGTTTTCCTAGAGATTCTCCTTAGTCCTTAAATGGTATTTCTGAGTCTGACATCTTGGAGTCCCACTACCTGGCAGCCACCTTTCACCAAAGGCACCATTTTATCTGTACCCTAAGAGAACAAAGGAATTTGGAAATGAAATCCTTTGGTTAATCCAGTTCTCAAATTTATTGTAAAATAGTATGAAATGTGTTTGGCATTGCCCTTTAAGGAAAGAAATCTTCAAGTGTCCCCAGATAATAATGACTGAAAAAGGTCTGTGGTTAATGATGACAACGAAATACAAATTAGGGTGGGAATTCCTATACTGGTGGTAAGCTGCTTCTAAATCATAACGAATAAAAAAATACAGCACCTCAAGGTGAGTGGCCCTTTGTGGTTACAATCACTAATTCATTTGGCACAAGCACCGTGCCTTGACCCATGCTTAGTAAATATCAAGTGTGTTATCTGCAAAATATATTAATGTCCGTTTCTTTGTGCTTCTGACCCATGCATCTTATCCCCACAGTCAGCATGGTCTGGATCATGATCTAGAGCTCAGGATTCTCCAAAGATTAGTAAATCTCCTGTGCTTTTATGAGAAGATACTCCTGGCTTAACATTATTTTATTTAAAAGAATCTCTGACTTGAATAATGAATGGATAAACTTCTTGTGGACCATACAGCTTGTTCAAAATGGTTCAAAACTTGGGAATCCTAGGCCACCACCCTGTCTCCAGACACATTCTCCAATAGCAATGCCAGCTATACTTGTGCCTACTAGATGAACTGTAAATAAATGCTGGGTGCCTCACATTGGGTAGGAGTTCAACAAATATCTTTTAGTTAAGTCACACCATTTCAGGTTCTAAACATAAATTAGGCATGGTTCCTGTCCTCCTAGAGCTGACATTCATTCCAAACAGGGAATTGATTGGCATCTGATAAGGATCAGTCATCTGGCAGTTGTGAAAATGTCAGTTTCAGGTCAATCCCTGAGCCATTCAGTAAGGTATAAAAAAAAATCAAACCCATTGCCATTGAGTTGATTCCCATTCATGGCAACCTTATAGTGACCCTAAAGACAGAGCAGACCTGCCTGCCCTATAGGGTTTCCGAGGGTATATGCTTTACAGAAGCAGATTGCTGCCACATCTTTGTCCCACAAAGCAGCTGGTGGGTTCAAGCCCACAAGCTTTCATTTAGCAGCGAGCACTTAACCACTGTGCCACCAGGGCTCTTTTGAATAAGGAATAAAAAACAAAAAAACTAAACTCCCTGCAATAGAGTCAATTCTAACTCATTGTGACTCCCATTGGGTTTTCAAGGCTGCAAATCTTTACTGAAGTAGGTGCCTTATCTTCTCCCGTGGAGCAGCTGATGGGTTTGAACTGCTGACCTTCCGGTTAGCAGCCAAATGTCTTACCCACTACACCACCAGAGCTCCTTTTGAGTAAGGAATAGAGGAGGCTAAATGAGTGTCATATTCTTGTTTGCTGATTATTTAGTTATAAGACAGTCAGATGCCACTGAAGATGTGATTGGAACAACTGTCATTATTAATAAGAATTGGACAACTTGCTTTCGCCTCCCCCAAAAATTATTTTCAAATGATGGCAAATATTAATAATAGTAGTAGTAAGAACAAAAGCATCACTTTGGATGTAATATTTATTATAAGTGTGCCTTTAAGAAGTTTTTTTTTTTTTTTTTTTAATCTTTAAGAGTGATTTAATTTTCTAGGAACCAAGTGTTTAGTCTAAAATATATCTCTGAATTTGTAACAGAAGTCATTGAAAACACAGGCTTTGCCTCTTTGCTAGAGTACACTGTATGTGTGAAAGACATTGGGAAACTCTAGGGCAGAAGTCCTCTGAGTCCTTCCAGATATTTAAATCTACAATTAAGTGTTCACACAGTTCTGAGCAGCAGGGAAAGAAAATAAAGCTTAATTCCCAAACCTCTTGATCCTGCCAATGCCTTTGCCTGGACTATTAAAAAAGATACTAAATTGACATGAATTAGGCTATCCAAGATGTCTACAGTTTCAACCTGCCAATCGCTCCTCTGGACAAAATACCTGACAATCTGCTCCCATAAAGATTACAGCCTAGGAACCTCTATGGAACAGTTCTGTTCTGTCACACGGAGTTGCTGTAAAGGCAAATCAATTGGATGGCACCCAAAATAACACCAAGGAACCTACTGTGTGTAGGCCCATTCTATGTCATACTCCATTAAGCCTTACAACAACCCTCTATAATATGTATTATTACTCTTATTTTAGAGGTGGAGTTCAGAGAGGTGAGTTGACCTGTCAGTCACAGAGTTACTAGAATAACCTGGACCAGAAGTCTGCTCCATTTGACTTTCAAAGCTTTATTTTATTTCTCACTAAACCATTCTATTTCACCAAAAACTAGAATGATTTGATTAATGTCATCTTGGATTTCTTCAGCACCTCTGGAAGAAAAGGCTTCTTGTCCGTAAATGGAGCAGTCATTGTTAACTGAGTACGCAGGACTGCCGCATCATCCTCTTAATTTGAGTAATAAGCATGTTTAAGAAAACTTTGTAAACTTAAATTAGCAAATATTACCACATCAAACATTTTCCAAATGTTTGGAGATCAGAATGAATAGAATTTATATTATCATCTCATAGTTTGATACCTCACTTTTGATACTGTAATAAAAATAAAGTTAACATAAACGAAGAACATTATTTTAAAAATAATTTCTTAAAGAATGGTGCCAACTCTCAAAATGTGTATGCAACTACTGATAAATATAACACTCACTAATTTCAGAAGAAAGCTGATATTTTAAACATGATTTTCTTTATACACATATTAAGATATCTAATAGGATTTGTGCTTAAGTGACCATCACTACAGTTTAAATGACTGTTTCTACATCTCCTCAATAGTGTGTGTATGTGTACACATATTTTAAGAATAAAAATCAACTGAAACAAAATTAACATGAAGCCCCACTCCTGAACTGTGCTTTATTTGAAAAGAAAATCTGGAGATAAAATCCTGGTTTCCTTTTAGCACAAGCATATACCCTGTAGCTCTCGAAATCCAGTTGCCCAGACAAGGGGACTGGAGGTGATTGCTCTGTATCCATTTAATCAGAAATCACATTAAGGCTGTCTTTGCACCCAGCACCTCCCACTGAAGTCTTCTAGAAGCTGGGTGCAGTTCAGAGAACACAATTTGGTTCATCGTGTTGAATACCATCCTGGACATATTGATTCAATTTGATTGGATTTCTTTTACTACCCTGAGGGTAACACAGAAGAATGACAAAATCTATTATTGAACACAGTGCCATCCAGAAGAACTACCTCAAAACCTGACTTAAAGTAAAGGGTGGGGAATAGAAGATCAGAATATATCTGTTAAGGTAATATTTTTTAAACCCTATTGCCATGTTTTATCTTTGTACTTGTTTTAATATAAAAAATACCTCCTAAACCACAAAATGCATTTCCTGCCCAAAGCAGCAAAATACTGCTGTGATTTTTTTTTCATTAAAAAAAAAAATTACTTCTAGAATATAAATACGTATGCTTGCTTCAGCCTGACCACCTAGAGTCACAGGTTTATAAATTGTATCAAAGTATATAGTGTTAAGATGTTTACTAAAAATTATTAATAGGTTTCCTGAGTTATATAATTTAACTTCCCTGTGACTATTTTATAAAAAGTATTACCTCCACTAACAAAATAATATGTTTTGCTTGATAGATTAGTCATGTACTCACACGACGCTACAGGTGTACCGCACACATTATGGAGTGTGGCTGGATGCCATGGCAACGCTGAGCAGGGTGTGGCTGGAGTGTGGGGGAACTTAATCAGAAACAGTTGTCAGTTGACTCTCTATTAATTTTGTTCTCCTCCGAATAAAGATGTCAGCTGTCCTTTTCTGCAAGACATTTCATTTAGAAGACTTTCCTGAAATACTTTCTTCCTGAAATAGACAGAACTGTAGGCCGATTGTGTCATTTCAGTTAATCAAAACAAGTAGGCAAATTAGTCTCTTTTATTTTTGTAATGAATGTAATTTAACAGTATTTAATTTGCATACAGGAAAGTTCACTCAGAAAAAAAAAGTCTACATTATAGCACTTTTGTAAACCTCAACAAAGCCCTTCATTAGGAGACCTAATTGATTTTTCCTACCCACTCCTGGGGGAAGAAAGCTATCACAGTACCTGCTTATTCACTCAGAGAAGAAATGGGTGTGCCTGGTGGTTCAAGCAGAGATTTGGGCTAAAAAGTCCTGTGGCTCTGTTCTTGCAGGGAGATCTTGGCCACCGCTTGCTTTGAGCATTCAGGAAATCTGCTTTTCTGAGCAATAGGGGGAATATCGCCTGTCTGCTTGGTTTCCACCCCATGGGCCCAATTTAGTTCAGCTTATGGCTTTCACTGGAATTATTTCTTATTTACTTAAACCTCCCTTCTTCCAAAAGAGGGAATTTGAGGCTTCTTACAGTGATACATAGAATATGCCACATACTGAGAAAATTTATACGATATAAGTGATAAACTGAGGTAAGTGAAAATTAAAGTCAAGAAATTACAGAACCAGGAATAGAGGCCAGTATAGAAAATATATGGCATGGGAGCTCTTGTGGTTGTTAGAGGTGGGTCATATAGTTGTCTGTGAGTTACACAGGGGCAAGAGTAAAGAGAGGAAAAAGAACCAAAAAAAGAAAAAGAAAAACCCACTGCCATTGAGTGGATTCTGACTCATAGCAACCCCCACTGGGTTTCTGAGGCAGTAAATCTTTACAGAATAGATCGCCCTGTATTCCTTATGCAGAGTGGCTGTTGGGTTTGAACTGCCAATCTTCTGGTTAGCAGTCAAATGCCTTAGGCACTGTGCCACCAGAGCTCCTTAAGAAAAGAAACAGTTATATGATTATATATATAGTGTTCAGAAGTTGAAGGGTAAACAGTTGACCTGCAGTCCAGCTTTTCCTGGTGTTGAAACCTGACATGATTCCTCTCATGTTGTTGTTGTTATGTGTCGAAAAGTCGGACCCGACTCATAACGACCCTTCCTTGGATTTCCGAGGCAGTATCACTAATGGAAATAGATTGCCCAACCTTCCTTCTGAGGAGTGGTTGGTGGGTTTGAACCACCAGCCTTCTGGTTAGCAGTCAAGTGCCTTAGGCACTATGCTACCAGAGCTCCTTAGAAAGAGACAGCCAGGTCTATGCAGGGAGGAGTGGCTGGTGGGTTTGAACCGCCAGCCTTGCGCTTGGCTGGCGACTGCCTTAGACCCGAAGCCGTCCTCTAAGGCTGATTCTTCTCATAGAGCCTCATAAAGATAGCCCTGTGCAGTGTAGTGCACCAACTCCTCACCAACACCTCTGCTATAAAAATGGCTGTTTTATACAAGACCTTATGTTCCTGCAGGTGACTAAAGGCCAAAGCATGTGTCCGTACAGCCAGTTCTTCAAGGGGCTTTGCATTGGGTCGACTTTCTTCTTCAGTAATTCATTTTTTTGCAAGGATTCTCCAAGTTTTCTCCATCTTTCTCTTCTCATGTCTCCCCATGTCTCTCTCTGCTGCTTATTCCCACCCTCCCTACTAGAATTTTGTTGTTGTTGTTATATGCCGTCGAGTCGGCCCCGACTCAAAGCGACCCCTCCTTGGGTTTCCAAGGCGGTATCACTACGGAAGTAGATTGCCCAACCTTCCTTCTGAGGAGTGGCTGGTGGGTTTGAACCGCCAGCCTTCTGGTTATCAGTCAAGTGCCTTAGGCACTATGCTACCAGAGCTCCTTACAAGCATTTAGGAGATTGGAAATACTTCCATTTGAAATTTCTCCAAAGACTGACATTGGCCTCCCTACTGACTGAAAGAGGCTTGCCTTTGGAACCCTAGCTATTTTAAGTGAGTGGGTCATGGTACCTACAGAACAGTTACCTCCATGCAGCCAGCACCCATAACCCTGGCCTTTCTGTGATGCCACCTGAATGTGCATTTCACAGGTAACCAAACTGCATTCAGGGAAGTAAAATAGCTTGTCTTTGCAGCATTTGGTGGTAGAGCCAGGGTTAGATAAACTTTCCCTCCTATCTTATACCCAATAGCTCTTCCCTTTTCACCATGCTAATCCAATGGACAAGAAGAGTACTGTCGGGTCTTTTTTTGATTTATTTATTTTTTTTGAGACAGTTGGCAATCATTGCAGAAGCTTTCTTAACCATGTCCAATAGATGTGAGAGACATCATCACAAGGAATCAGAGGGCTGGTGTGTTTAAGGCTCGGAAAGTATTAAGCTGGTAAGATATCTTTCTGCATTAAAATATACTCCAGTTGAAACTGTTTTTCTTGGCATTGTGGATGATTGTTAAAAATCGTAATAGCTAACATTTATTGAGCACTTATTATGTGCCAGGCACTGTTCTAAGCACTTTTCATGTATTTTCTCACTTAACCCTGATAAGGATCCTATGTGGCAGGTGCTGTCATTATCCTCAATCAATAGATGAGGAAATCGAAGATCAGGATATTAAATATTGAGTTGGGAATGATTTAAGGGCTAAGATTGTTCAGTATGGGGTTGGAAGAAGCCCAGCCTTCAACCTTATGATTGGCTCTTTCCAATGGTTCTCAACCAGGGGGACTTCTGGCAATGTCTGAAGATACTGTTGGTTTTTACAGCTGTGAAAGGGTGGTGGCGCTACTGGCATCCACTGCGTAGGTAGAGCCCAGGGATGCTGCCAAATATTCTGCAATGCACAGGGAAGCCTCCCACAGCAAAGAATGATCTGGCCCCAAAATGTCAGTAGTGATGAAACTGAGGAAACTTGCTTTTTCCATGATTTGAAAATAGTCTGCATATCCATTCCCTTTGTGAGTCTATTCATTCTTACTCAACCTAGGAGAAATACTTACCCTCAACTGAAACAGTGGTGTTTTCTGTGATGCTGCATTTTATTTTTGCCCTGTTGGTATGGGCATAGAGGAATGAGTAATTTTAATATAAAATATCTGTATTTGTGCATTTTTTTCTTTTAAATGTTTAACCACAGACATTATTAGAAGAAAACTTTGATTTTTAATTCTTTTATTTACTTATCCTTGTTAATCTGCCATCCTCTGATATTTTGAGTTTTCACCCCAACCACTCTTTTAGGCTAGGGTGGAGAAGATGGGTTACTGTGCTCAAAAACTAAAGCTGTTGACATGTAGGCATGAGGCTATAGAATAGCAATGTTTTTCTTTGTTGTTTTCTCATATGTTAGTGAGTGAATACAATGAAGTGTCATAGAAAGGCAGTCCCTGGGTTACCAAAGGGATCCATTCCTAAGTATGTCTTTAGGTCAAATTTGTAGGTAAGTCGGAAAAGGTGCATATGGTTCTTATTTAGCCTTACTTTACTGCAAGAAAGGAGTTCTGCTGGTGTAGTGGTTAAGGCGTTTGGCTGCTAACCAAAAGGGCATTGGTTTGAATTCATCAGCTGCTCCATGGAAGAAAGATGAGGCAGTCTGCTTCCATAAACATTTAGAGACTTGGTAACTAAATGGGGGTCACTATGAGTTAGAATTGACTTCATAGCAGTGGTTTGTTTTCCTTCAAGTTTAGTGCAAGAAAAGGCTAAAAGCCTTTTCCATCATTCGAAAGCTGCATGTGCAGCAAGTGAAGGTGTTTGTGATGAAGAATTTGTTGTATGTAGGTGTTGGTTCAGTAGTTTCAAAGTGAGGGCAAATGAAAATTTTAAAAAAGGGAGGGCAAATTTACATAATATTAAAGGGCAAGTACAAGTTGTCCATAAATTGGACAGTTCATAACCTGGGGATTGCCTATATGCATTTTAAAATCCTGCATTAGAATGTTTAGAGGCTGATGGCACAGGGGGCAGTATGCTCTGTGTTTCTTACATAAATGAACAAGCCAGGCTTGCTACCGAGCAAACCGCTGGCATCCAGAGAAGAGCAGGGTCTGCCCTCACCTGTGCATTACTTATTCTCGGGTTCTCTCTTACTACATGGTTCAGACTACCAGATGCCTCTGAAGAACACTTCCTTTTTGGACCTGATTTTCAACCTGGTTTTTTAGTTATCAGTCAAAAGCATTTTTTCTATGTTGACCTCATTTACATTTATTTAATGTCATTTAAAGTCATTTGTGACCATTTGAGTGTATTTCAGCATATAGAATCAGGGAATAATAGATTTCAGCTTCATGCTGTGAAGAGAGATTGTGTTTTTACAAGACATAATTTGTTTACTGGGTGTTAATAATCACTAATTAATAAACCTATGTAGCCTTCTAAAATATTGCATTTTGAGGAATAAAAGTGTCAAGTGTTTAACTTATGGAATGCAATAGTATTTTCTAACATCATTGCATAAAATGAGTTACATGAAGAAGCAAAACAAAAGCATTTGTTTCTATTATTCTGTTCTCAAAAGTGCAATTTCTGAATATATTGTTCTAATATGTGCCTGGACATATATAGTCTATATGTCAGTTGTCACACAGGAATCTCCAAGTTAGGGAGTTTTTCCTTTATCTTTATCTCATATTAACTGTGATTGGCTTCTTCTCTTCAAACCACTGCAAGTTTTTTGTGCAAAGCCTACTAAGACACTTGGCCAGACAGAACACAGTTAGATAAGTCAGCCCATTAAATGCCTTGATCTTACCTACATTAAGGAGCTACTTGACTACGTCATCTTCAAGAAGCTAAAAGGAAACTGCCACCTAATGTAATACAGTAAGTCCCCAGGTTACAAACATTTGACTGACTTACAGAGCAAGACATACGTGCCCTTTAATGTTATGTAAATTTGCCTCACTTTGAAACCATTGAAACAGCTCTTGCTTGCAATAAATTCATCACAATCAGCTTCACTTGCTACACATGCAGCTTTTAAATCATGGAAATAGATTCTAGCCTTTTCTTCCACTGAAAAAAACAAAAACCAAACTCACTGCCATTGAGTCGGATCCAACTCATAGCGACCCCTTCTTGGGTTTCTGAGGCAGTATCACTACGGAAGTAGATTGCCCAACCTTCCTTCCAAGGAGTGGCTGGTGGCTTTGAATCTCCAGCCTTCTGGTTAGCAAAATAAGGCTAAATAAGAACCATATGTACCTGTTCCGACTTACCTACAAATTTGACTTAAATTCACACTTAGGAACTCATCTGCCATGTACCCAGGGACTGCCTGTCATCATTCCCTTTCTGTCCACTGCTTTCCCACCCGTAACCAGTACAATGTGATGAAAGCTTTAGCAATAAAATTAGAAATAAAAGGAAGCTGTTCACAAAAGAGCTAAGATATAGCTCCGTATTCTTTTTTAGTGCCTCAATGCATATGCAGAATTTCCCCTCCAAATTGGAGGTGTGGAATAACAGCAGCGACAGATAACTAAGGTATTTACCATAGCTACAAAGCCCACACGTGAGCCAAATATTTCTGCTATTAAAAAGCACTTCAAAGCTTGACATGAAGTTTGTAACAGCTGAATGTCTCCTGTGACTTATTTGTGGAGAAGATGTAAAAACAGAGAGGAAAGTCGTGATAGGAGAACAGGGATCCTAGGAAATGGTTTCAAAGAAAACAGGAGAGAACCAAAAACCAAACTCACTGCCGTGGAGTCAGATGCGACTCATAACCCTCCTTGGGTTTCTGGGGCAGTATAATTAAGGAAGTAGATTGCCCCATTTTCCTTCTGAGGAGTGGCTGGTGGTTTTGAACCACCAGCCTTCTGGTTAGCAGTCAAATGCCTTAGGCACTACACCACCAGTTCAGAATTCTGACTGGCACCCCCAAGGTACTGTTCCCACTGCTCTCGTAGTGTTCTCAGTAATTCTCAGAATCCTCCTGCTGACAGCTCTTCCTACCTCTGAAGGCAGACCCAGGTTTTGTGATGCTTGAAACTCATGTGAGAGACTTCTTTATGAAGATGAATTCAGTTGCATCTTACTTTGACATTTAAAGAAACATGACCATGTGAACACTTTGCTAGGGTTTCTTGCAGGGCCTTAGGAGGGATCTCTGCAGTTAAAGGGACCTGATGCTTAAATGTCATTAGCGTCTCCGTAGAACCACCTCTGCTCTCCATAACCACCACCATCCTTGCCAAAAATAACTACTTCCCAAACTTTCTTGCTTCCTATGATCCACTTTGATCTCAGTTCTGATTGTTGCTAGATATGAAAGACATGTTTATGAAATCCTGGAAGCTTTAACCCTGGCCAAAATCTAGGATCCACATATATGCAGCATTATGTCCATTACAACCCAAAGATCTTAATACAATCATTCCACGGAACATTCATTTGTTCAGCCAGCCAGTGAGTCATTTAACGAATGTGTCTAAGGTACTGTTCCTCTGAGAACATAAATATGGAGTCATCAGAGTAACTCTTGAACAAAGGAAACCATGCTACTAAATATAGCTAGAGATTGGTGAAAGAGCCAGGATATTTACAGCATCTCAATTGCTGGGTTTATCTGAAACTGTCTTAAAAATTCTGACTTTCTAATAAAGAATCATTTGAAGCTTTTGACGTCTGCATATTTCCAGGTCGTTCAGAATTAGTGAATGGCGTCATTCTCTGCTTATTAGTTTAAAAAGTTACAGTTTAAAATAATCAATTAAATTTTCCTTGCTGTGAGGTTAAAAATGAGTTTCTATGTAAGAAAATAATTATCTTTGTGTGAAAACTGTTAGTGACATTTATACTTATGACTTTTTTATTCTTTGATAACCATTAATTTTAGTAAACTATGTAATATACTGGAATCCTTGGGTGGTACACACAGTTAGCATGCTCAGCTGTCAACCCAAAAGGTGGAAGTTCAAATCCAGACAGATTTACCTTGAAAAAAAGACCTAGAGATCTCTTCTGAAAAATCAACACATGAAACTCTGGAGCACAGTTGTATTCTGATACACGGGAGTTGCCATGAGTTGGAATCAACTCCGTGACAACAGTTTTCTGGTTTGCGGAACTTAATATAGCTGTTAAGACCTTTTGTAATGCAAATATTACCTTTTTATAGGCCCACAGGATTGGCTTTTGGTCTCATGTCAAAACCAAAACCAAACTCACTGCCATCGAGTTGGTCCCCCTCCTTGGGTTTCTGAGCTGGTATCTCTACGAAAGTAGATTGCCCAACCTTCCTTCCGAGGAGTGGCTGGTGGGTTTGAACTGCCAGCCTTCTGGTTAGCAGTCAAATGGCTTAGGCACTACACCACCAGAGATTTTTGTCTTCTTGGAGATCCAATTTCCTTTAGAGCTTAAGTTGGAGATGTGGAAAAT